CTCGACCCGTCTCGCATTACTCCCACCATCGCGCCGCCCAAGATGGGCTTCTTTGACAACATCATGCACCAGATGGACGAGGGTGTCTCGGGCTTCTTCGGACAATGGAACGCTTATACCACTGCCCTCGTCACTTTTCTCGTCGCCATCGTTACCTACCGAATCGTCTCTAGCCAGGATCCCGATACCCATCCCATGCTGCTTGCCCGTCAAGCGCAAGGCTCTCCCGTTCGCCAACCAGCGGAATCTCCCGTCTACCGATCCCACTCTGCCCCTCACGGCATGCCCCTGAACAGCGGACTCAACGTCAAGGACCCCGGTGCTTCGAAGTGGGCGAGGGGACGTGATGGAGATCTTCGGGATATCTGGAGAAGAGCGGCGACTGGCGCTTCTGAGGAGGGCAAGCCAGTTGTAGGCAAGGGCCGCTTGTTGACGGTACTGGGCTCCGAGAATGTTATCGAGCATCAACTTGGTGAGTACCCTTCTTTTGCGCCGTGATCAACTTCTCTAAGGCCGCGCAGATGACATCACTCGTCAAATCAATCTCATCGGACAGCACATTCACGAGCAGGGCGGCATCCGAGTAGCCGTTTACCTGCCAAACTCTATCGAGCTTTTGGTGACGCTTTTCGCCTGCAGTTTTTACCCGAACCTCACAGCCATCCTGATCCCATTTGATGTGTCAGACGAGGAACTCGTGACGATGCTCCGCCGTTCTGCCGCCGATACCGTTATAACAGCCCCTGGCGCGTTCCCCTTTGACTCGGTCGTCAAGGCATACCCCGCTCTCCGCCAACTCATCTGGGTTGTAGATGAGGGAAGTTCTCACATGGACTGGAATGAAGTTCCCGAAGGCATGGGCGGCAGTGTCAACGTTGCGACATGGCAAGAGATCCTCCGTGATGCACCAGTCGATGCCGCGAGAGAGGTGCCCCCTGTCGACAAGGAAATTGAACCGAAGGATGTGGTGACTTTCTGGCAATCCAAGCCGGGAACTATGGAAGAGATGGTGCGCTTCACTCAGTCCAACTTGGTTGCCGGTGTTGCCGCTCAGCTCGCTGCGATCCCAACTACCCAACGCCTGAGTCCCTCTGATCTGTTCCTTCCTGCCGACTCTCTTACGAACATCCATACCTTAATCCTCACATTGGCAGCTCTGTTCTCCAACTCATCTGTCGCACTCAACTCAGTGGCTGGAAAGGTCACGGACTTGGCTCTGGCTACCCAGGGAGTTGCTCCTACAGTCTTGGTGGCCGCTCCCGAGACTCTGTTGAAGACCCACCAGGAGGCAACTAACCGCCTGACCTCTGCTTTGGCTAAAGTTGCTCACTGGGCTCAGTCCCGCAGCCTCACAGAGAGTGGTGTGATGCCCGTTGCATCCGCCGCGGCACGTTTCAACAGTGCATCTCGACCAGCTATCGGCAAGACTCCTGGAAAGCTGCGTCTTCTTTATGTCGCGGATAGGGTCGGGGCTGGCTCGCCGCCTTTGTCGTCACGAGAACTTTCCGATCTTCGCATTTTCACAGGCGCTAGAGTCATCTACGCTTTGGCCGCGCCCAAGGTTGCCGGAGCTGTCGCTCAGACTGGTTACTACGATTATAGAGTGCATGAGGATAAGCAGTCGCACTTCGGTCCTCCTCTGACGAGCACTGAGATCCTCTTAAGAGATACAGAACAGCATAAGAATGCCGATCAGGAATATCAGGGAGAGGTGAGTTTGATGGCCTTCCGAATCCCGGCCGCACAACTAACGCTGCAAACTAGATCATTGTTCGAGGCCCTTGTGTTGCAGGCAACGAGGCCACCATCAAGGCTACAGGCAAGATCCGGGATGACAACACGCTGGCATACGTATAGAAATTTGTGTACAAGGTCTCTTCCACTTAAGCCGTCTTTCATGTGCGCATTTAGGTCTGCCAAGGAATGATCTATTGCCAGTGAATTACTTCTATCTTGCCGCCGATGTTCGGACGCTAGGTCTCTCGATATCATGCATCGCTCACGTGGCTCGTGGCATATTGCTTTGCCCACTGCCAGTCTGCTTGGGCTCTATCGAGTCTTAATGCTCAGTGGCAGGCATCTACAGACCCAACAAAAGCAGTGACGGCGACGCTTCTGACTACTTGCTAAGATGACGCTTTTACCCTCCTCTGCAACGAGTTGACTTTAATGCTCATCTTCACCCTACGCAATGAAACAAGTTACCATCATGCCAAGAATATAGAAAAAATGCGTAGAAAAGAACATCATACTTACACAGCTACTGCCACTTAACTGTCCTAGCGAGAAAAAAAAAAGATAGAGAGTTAGACGAAAATCGCAAAAGCTCAGCTCCCTATAGGGAGCCTACGAAAGATCCGAGGAGGCTCTTACCAGCCTCAGGTGTAGCGATGCAAGGATTTTTACTAGAAGACGGGACTCAAACCCGGGACCCATGGGTGCGGAGCTATTCGAACTAAGGTACGACATTCTCCGCTACGTCACGGGCCTTGGTGATAGTAATAAGTAAATTTATCTATTATGGAGGGTATCGAGGCGGTGGCCGGCGGTTTGTGCTTGTGAGTGAGTTAACCTGAGGCTCTTGCTCACAGAGTCACGTGAACCCCTTCTCATCTCATCTTCTTTCCAAGGTCGAGTGAAGAACATGCTGCCTCATCAAGGAGATGAATACCAGGGCGAGGATGGACAGTCCGAGCATTGTGTACCAGACGCTGCCAAAGGCTTCCCGGAAGGAGTCAATCACTCCCGGCTTCCACCCGGGCGGGAGGTTCTTGAGCTCGTCGAGGTCGTCTCTGATGCGGCCGATGATCTTGGCGGCGTTGGGATAGTCGCCGAAGCGTTCCCAGAGCTTGACTCTCAGCACGTTCTGGTAGACGGCGGAACCGATGGTGATGCCGATGGTACCCCCGAGACTGCGGGCCAAGTCTATGGATTCATTAGTCTATGCGGATGGTTTTGCACATAACCCAGGATGACTTACATGTCGCTGACGTGATGACTGCTTGCTGCGAATGGTCGACGGCAGCAATGCAGCCGAGCAGCGTAATGGTCAACATGGCTCCGTAGCCTCCTCCCACCAGGAAGAAGACGACATAGTTGACCCATGCGGGCGTGTTCTCGTTGAACTGCGTGAGGACGATGATGCCGGTGTTGAAAAGAACCAGGGCGCTGATTCCCGGGATCACGTATTTCCCGGTCCGCTTCATGATGTAGCCGGCGCCGACAGACATGATGGAGACGCCCAGAGGTGATGTCAAGATGCGGAGACCTGCCTGCGTGGCAGATAGCCCGTTGACCTGGAGGTACAGCGGCACGTAAAAGATGGCCATCATCATGACCATGGTGCACAGGAGGTTGGTCAGACAGGCGGCGAGGATAGTGCGGTTCGCGAGCAGGCGGACGGGGATAATGGGCTGTTTAACCCTGCTCTCCCAGACGATGAAGCCGATGAAGGCGACGACGGAGAGGGGTATCGTGGTGAGCGGCAGGGGGTGGACCCAGGGGACTAGGTTTCCACCTGCGTTGAGGCCGAGCAGGAGGAGCACGAGGAAGGAGATGGTCAGGAAGACGCCGAAGAAGTCGATGCGCGCCAGGTAGGACTTATCCGAGGCCTTGGGCGGGACCTTTACGAGGACGGCGACGAGGACGGCGGAGACGAGCACGGGGGGCACCTGGACGAGGAAGGCGAGGCGCCAGCCCATTGCCGTGTGGTCGTTGATGAGGCCGCCGAAGACGCCGCCGAGCATGGCGCCGGAGCCGTAGGCGATGTTGCCGATGCCCTGGTAGATGCCCCTCTGCCTCAGGGGGATGAGGTCGGAGCCGAGAAAGGTGGAGATGGACATGAGCCCTCCGCCGCCGATGCCAGCCACGACGCGGCCAAAGATCATGACGGACTCGGTGCGGGCGAGGCCGCAGATGAGGTTGCCGGCCGCGAAGAAGAGGTTGCTGAAGACAAGGCCGGGACCGCGGCCAAAGATGTCGGTCAGCCTGCCCGAGATGGGCTGACAGGCGGCATTGGAGATGAGGTAGGCCGTGGCGAGCCAGCTCATGAGACTCAGGGACTTGAACTCGCTGGAGATGGGGCCGGAGAGGGTGGCGATGATTGTGCTGTCGATGGCGCCAAGGAAGACGCCAAAGTAGGAAGTGCCCAGGATGAGGGCCAGGCGGGTGCCGGAGACCGTCTCGGCGACGACGGTGGTCTCGTCGTCGTTGGCGGCAGCGGCAGTCCCATTGCTGGTCGTGTTTGTGGTGCCGTTGAGCAGCGGCGTCGTCTCTGAGCTCTGCTCGGTGGCGGCCAGGCGGCGCGTCTGCTCCTCGTCTGCCGTCATGTTTAATGGTGATGTTCTCTCCCCCTCTGCTTAGGCTTCCAACCTGAGTTTCCCTTTACTGCCTTTACCGGTGCGGAGTTGAGTCCTTGAAAGTCATTCGTCAACGTCGCTGTCGACATGTCTTGAGTGTGTTGATGACGTTCGACCTATTGGGTCAATGCTCTTTTCGTATTATCGGGATAAGCTTTCCGGCTTGTGTCTTATGTAATCTAAACGCTCCCGGAAACAGAATGTCATTGCTGAAGATTCACAGTGACAAAACAGACAGCAGTTCCCCGGACCCCGAATCTCGGCGTGCGCCCCCGTGGCCCCCCTGGCAGCTGTGCCCGGCCGTCTGTCCGCAAAAGGCAACTGTGCAGGACGTCTAAGGCGGGCCGCCGGGCACTCTGAGTCTTGAGAGTCAGCACGGAGATAGAGATAGTAGAGATGGAGGAGATGTCAGCCACAGATGCGTACGATAAGATGGGCGCTGACGCTGGAACAAGTCTGCAAAAGAGGAGTGTAGAGGACGCCACATAGTAACCCGCCCCGGCTAATCTTCATTGAGTCTTGAGCAACGGCCCAAAGACCCTTCCACCGAAGAGTTTATTGGGTAAGTAATTCCCGAAGCATTGCGTATGCCTTCCTTATCTTACCCACCAGCGACACAACCTTGCAATCACGTCACTGCCGATGTCGGTGTGCCCTGTCACTCCTCGTGCAGTGCGCCCTTGGGTTCTTTCTTTAACTTGGCCTCACTTCCTCCATCTTCATCTTGGCGCTGGGATGAGGGACCTTTGTGATTCGACTCGACATTGGGGGAAAAGAGAAAACCGAAATTGGAAGAGGCCATTATCAACGCTCATGACGCTCCTTTCAATCAAGGGCCTCGAAAGCATCTCACGACGGGCGGGGTTTGGAAACGGAAAACGACTCTGACGTGCCGGAAAACTCATCTTCAACTCACGGCAGAAAGACACCGATAAGCGAGCGAGCACGCCCGGATCGAAAAGGTCCAGCAGCCCAGGTACGAGGTGGATCTCATTATTCTTTCTTTTCTGCGCGAGTGTGCTATGCGCCGCCGATTTGGCCTCGAAAATGCGTATTGGAAAGAAGGAAATGAAATGCATGGTAGAAACGGATCTTGTTCGTTTTGGCGCATGTTGTCCAAGACGATTGTCCTCCCCAAATATGGTTTCCACTGAGGCCGCCGGAAAATGGCCTCAGTTTCCTCTCATCTCCACTCGATCATGTCCGGTGGTGTCTGACCGCAGCCACACTGCCCATCACAGAATCGAATCCAAGGAATGAGGACTCTCACGCCGAACGAGTGTTCGGCGTGAGAAAATGGCCTCAACTCGTTTTGTTTCTCAGCTTCGATGAGGCAGCTTTGAGATGATATTCTTATTAAAGCATACTTGACCAGTGTCTCTCTCACCTCACTTCTCACTCACTCAGCATCACCACCACTCATCCTTTACATCTTACTCTCATTCTCATTCACTCCACACGTCGAAAATGGCGTCCTCCGATATCCTATCTCAGACTCTTCACACCATCACAAGTGTGAAGCTTAGCCAGTTGGATAAGCAGAAGGCTTCATATGAGTCAGGGAAGCGAGCCCTACTAGATGATGCGGCCTATGAGATGGACAGTCGGAAAAGGGCGGAGCTCTTAGTCGACCGGATCGAGAGGCTCCCTGCCATGGCACCTTTGGACGATGGCTCACTACTATCCATCGACAATCTCAAGCGATTCGTTCAGCAAGCCGAATTTGACCCGTGCGTTTCCGACGACTTCCTCCACGACTATGAGAACAGCGTACGCAACGAACTCGACGTTCAGTCGGCAAAATATCGATACGCCGAACTCTACGGCAAACTCGTCAACGAATGGATCTCCGCCGGGAAGGCTGCTGGCCACGGAGCTGAGTCGGGATTCGTGCCCGTGGGTAGGGAGGAGATGCACCAACAGCGAGCGACGTGGGAGCGCTATGTTTTCCATGCGAAGGAGACGGATAGCCTGGCCATCAAAAGCTACCTCGAGAGCCTCTTCGTATCATCCTCCAAGGACATTCACCGGGCATTTCTGGAACTGAAAGAGAACGTCAAGAAGTTTCAGGACACGTGGGACGACAAGACGCACTTTGACGAGGATTCTTTGATGAACACCATCCGCGGCCTCCTCCGGACGGATACCCTCACGGACCAGAAGAGGACGACGCTCAACGACTTTCTGAACAACAAGGTCGTTCTGTGCGAGATCGCCGATGTGCTGAATATGCGGATGCAAACTCGGCAGAACTGGGCCTGGGACAGTGCGACTGAGGTCGACGTGCGACGGCAACTCAACGGACGCTACCGATTCTACCCCGACGACGACCTCCTACAGGCCATCTTCATTCACCACATCGGCAAGCTGTGGGCCGTCAAGATACGCGGGTTCCTCGTCGCGTTCCTCGAAAGCGCGGGCGTGGAAAAGGATGCGACGAAGCCAATGAGCAAGGAAGACGTTCGCCGCAGACGATTTTTCCTGAAGACGGGGCCACGCATCGAAAGCCCCGTTTCGGTGGAGAAGAAGCTCAAGCAGCACTTCAAGTCGGAGATCCTGCTGGACCAGCTGCCGCAGACCTTGGCAGAGGAGCGAGGCGGCTACGGCTCGGACGGGAAGGAGAAGAAGGGGGACAGCCGCAAGTCGCACGTCGCCGTCGTACAGAACCTCTTGCACCTCATGCAGTCCGAGATCATCATGCAGACGCGGCTCGGGAGCGACGTGACCGTCATCCGGTCCGATCTAAAGTGGTTCGGCCCCAGCGTGCCGCACTCGTCCATCTTCGCCGTGCTCGAATTCTTCGGCGTCGACGACGAGTGGACCGGCCTCTTCAGGCGGATGCTCGAGTGCCCTTTACGCTTCAGCGACGACCCGTCAGACGCGCCGGCCCAGATCCGGAGGAGAGGCACGCCCCTGAGCACGCCCCTGGCGGATTTCATTGCCGAGACTATGCTCTTCTGCATGGACTTTGCCGTCAATCAACGAGCCGATGGTTGCCGCCTCTACCGGCTGCACGACGACATGTGGCTATGGGGCGGTCTCGAAACTTGCACCCGGGCGTGGGAGACGATGACTGAGTTTGTCAACCTCACAGGGCTGGAGATCAACTGGGACAAGACGGGAAGCGTCAGGGTCGCCGCCGCCGCCGCCGCGCCCCCGGTAGCCGGGTCGAACCAACAACAGCAACAGCAACAGCAACGGTCCATGCTTCCGGGTACGGGTGCTACGACGACGGCACGGGGTCGTCTGCCATCAGGCGATGTCGTGTGGGGATTCCTCAAGCTCGATCCGACGTCTGGGCGTTTCCTCCTGGACCAGGACAAGATTGACGTGCACATTGACGAGCTGCGGCTGCAGCTGGAGGCGTGCAGCAGCATCTTTGACTGGATCCAGGCGTGGAACATTTACGGCGCTCGCTTCTTCAAGACCAACTGCGCCCAGCTCGCCAACTGTTACTCCCGGCAGCACGTGGATAGCATGCTAGCGACGTTCCACCGCATTCAGGAGAGGCTGTTTGGCGCTGGCGGGGCCGGGGCGCACCTGAAGCGGCTCATTGGCGATCGATTCGGCGTCGAGGACATCCCTGACGGTTACTTATACTTCCCCGTTTCTCTGGGCGGCCTGGGACTCCAGAACCCCTTTATTCACCTCTATCTGATCCGCGACGACGTCATCGAGGACCCCGACGACATCATGGACGACTTCCTGGCCGAGGAGGAGGCAGAGTACAGGTTCAAAAAGTCGGCCTACGAGGAAGACACTGAGGGGGCCGGCGGCGGTAGCGGGCCTGGTAGCAACCTCGACATCTCCGGGGCCCGACACCACGCGCCGTGGCTTCTCGCGGACGACTACAGAGACCTACGGGACCAGCCGTTCATGAGCTACGAGGAGTTCTCGCGGCACCGGAGGCGCACGTCGCCGGCGCTGGGCCGGGCGCTCGACAGGCTGCGGCACACGCCGGCCACCAAGGCGATTGAGCTCAGGGGCGAGGTCGAGGCCGCGCTTAAGACCACGCCGGCGGGCTGGTATGGACTCAGCGGCTACGAGCAGTGGGTGTGCGGGCTCTACGGCAAGGACATGGTCGCGCGGTTCGGCAGCCTGGTTGTCGTGGACAAGGGGGTTTTACCCACGGGTTTGTTGGACATGTTGAGGCAGAGCCGGTTCAAGTGGCGCGGCTGAAGGGATGAAAGACGACGAGAATGAAAATGCCGAGGATAACAGGATAGGGGAAGTAGGACAGGGGAAGGGGGTGCGCTCTGTACGATGGATGGGATGGAGAGGCGCGGAAATTGGATATGGAAGAAAATAGCCGCGATGAGGCCTATCCTGGTGTCCGTTTCTAGAACAACGGGCAGAAAAGTCTCTCGGGCAAGTCGCGTGATCATCGGGGATTCGGGCGCGGCAAAAACATGAAAACACACACATCGGATACCCTGGGAGGGCAGTGAAAGTGTAAGAATAGTTTAAATTGGGTTTTCGGTCAAGTTGGACCGGATATTGGCCTCGTTCATTACTCGTGGAAATAGATGAAATGCGAGAAACTCACCCTGAATCGCTGAATCGCAAAACGGCTATGAATTGGTCCAGAATTGCCACTAAAAGAATTAAAGCTCCCACCCCCGGCCGGCCCCCTCGTCCCTTGCCGGGAAAAAGTCTTGTTCAAAAGAAGGCACAAACCGAGGTAAGTATGATAAAGTAAGTGTATGGATAGGCATAGCACGATGATGGGCCGGGACATGGATATCGCAAAACTTTGACATATGGAGCCTCACTTTTCCACTCTCTTACACACCCCTTTGCCAAGCAAAAAGGGTCCTCGGTTCGTATTGCCTTGGCATTTAGTAGTGTGAACGGTCATTCCCTCCTCCGATCTCGACTTTGCTATGTTTTCTTTGCTATCTCATCTTACACACACCCTTCCTTTTTCCATCTGCCGCTGTCTCACCCCTAGTCTAGCTGCCCAATTTCTGTACTATACACAGTAACTTACAAAGTCACGATGGTGGATCCATGCATCGTTTCTTGCGTGCCTTCTTCTTGTCTGCTAACCGCGGTTGAAGAATGGTAGCCAAGGTGGCTTACGGCACAATGCGGGCGCGAGAATATGTTGCATGGTGGGTAAGGCACGGCAGTGAACATGCGCCGCCAGGTAGTGAAACTCTTCAAGTGCTCGGATTGTCGGTGGTAGGAATGGCGTCATTGCGGCCCTTCATCGAGAGGGCATTGTGTCTGGATAAACAGTGTCACGCATACCATGTTGAATGAGTTCACCGCAGTAGATGCCTGCCAGTCATCAACGGTGAAGGTGCAGATGAACCACCTGAGCTGATTCGACGACATCAGATGATCTGAAGATGATCACAGACCCGATGAGCCTCGAAAGAGTTGCTCATGACGGATGGGTTGGGGGTTGGGTGAGGTCATTTCAAGTCAGGTCAGTTCAGGTCGAACCGTCGAGGGGAAAGGCGAGGATGAGAGTGAGAGTGAGAGTGAGAAGACCCCCACGCGTCCCGTCATCTCACTTCTTCGCCAAGTCGCCGTTACGAACGATGGACGGGGGGAACTTGGCTATCCTCACGACTAATTCACAAAGGTCAACATCAAAAGCCGACATTTAAATCGCTATCTTCAGTATCTCGTTTCGATGTCCCAGAGACGCCAGGAGATGGCTCGTGCTATCTCCAGTGTCCTTTTGTTCGTTGCCAGCGGCCGCCTAGTAGGTATCCGTATGGATACGCAGTAGCTTCCTCCTCTTCGACTACTTCTTTGGTTCTCGCAAAAGGTCTCTGCATATTCGCAGGTCACACACCCCCTGGTACGTTCTATTAGGCGAGTGCTCCTCCGTACGGAGTAGTGTACATAGGCGAGCAGACAGAACGGACAGGCGA